AGTGTGTCCTCTCTCTCTCTCCCTGTACCTTTCTGCAGGTTGCCCTGGCCCTGGAGCTCTATGTCTCTGACGAGCAGTCACCAGCCACATCGACCTGATCAGTGTTTGATTGTTGTGTCTTGTTGCTTTTCTTCTTTTGTCTCTCCTCTATCCACTCACCCCAACCGGTCGAGGCAGAAGGCCGCCCACCAAGAGCCGGGGTCTGTCGGAGGTTTCTTCCGTTAAAGGGAGTTTTTCCTCCCCACTGTCGCCAAGTGCTTGCTCAAGGGGGATTTGTTGGGTTTTCCCTATGTAATAATATTGATAACAATAAGGTCTAGACCTTACTTTGTAAAGTGTCCTGAGATGACTTTTGTTGTGATTTGGTGCTATACAGATAAAATTTGATTTGATTTGATTTTATGAATGTGTTTACATATATATCTGAGTGTATATACAAGTATGTGAATGGAAACGTATATAGTATATGATTTATATTGCTTTATTCCTTTTTTGTTCTTTATTTTATTACCATCATCCAATTTCTATTAAACTTTGTTACTGCCTTGATTTGATGTTATACAAATAAAACTAATTGAATTATCAGTGTGACACCGACTTGGTCCACTCAGCTGTGACCGGTCTCCACCCAGCATGGCAGAATTAATGGGTACAGATCCTGTATCAACTCAAACATACTGAGGTCGTGTGTACCTGTGGATCCCCTCGGCGCTGTTTTCAAGCAGGTCCGGATGGTTTTCAGTTGGAACTGATAAAATGTCTCCCAGTGAAACCAGTCTGCACAGAGAGAGAGCACAGACTGGTTTAGGGCTGAACTAAACATTATTTTTGATTAAGCCTTTCTATAATCATTTCTAATTAATTCTATATATTATCTGAAATAGTAAAAAATCTCATCCTGGTTCTGACGAGTTCAGTGTGGAAGCTTCAAATGTTTGACTTTCTCCAAACAACTGTCAGAAATGTACATTAATAAAACAGAAAAAACAGCAAACTCTAACGGAGGAAAACAGCAGACCTGAGCATCGATTATCGAAACAGTTCAGGATTGTTTTTCTGGCAATTGATTAACTGTTGCAGCTCTAAACTGGTTAGACTGGGAAACAGTTTGAAGAACAACTGGAGTCTAAAAAGGCTGCGAAGCTCGTTACACCCCATTAACAAAGCGCTTAACCCTAACCCAGTGTGTGAACACGCCAACATTTGGATGCTCGTCAGTTTTAAATGCATCTCGTCATGAACTCAGGGCATGCAAACGTTGACCTTTGACAGGAGGCAGCCGATCCGTCTGATTGTGGCCCGAAAGACCTGAGACCAGCGGTGATTCGCTGACCTGGGAGTGTGGAAGTGTTCAGACAGCAGGTCATCACAGCAGCTCAGCTTGTTGTGATGTGGGGAGATGACCGGCTGGATGTGGAGCTCGCTGGCGAACGGGGGAACCGCTGAGCGACAGGAGCTGTCAGAGTGACTGCCGGGTTCCGAGGGAGACGGCCTCCACCTCTAAGACAAAACAACAGCAGACCACAGGTCAGAGAGCGAGCAACACAGTTGTGCAGTTTTTTTGTCTTTGTCCGGATTTCAAAATGTCTGCCTCCATCTCAGTACTGTGGGGGTGCAGGTTGTTTTCCTCACAGCACTGAAGAGGTAGAAAATTCACCAGCATCACACAGGGTCCACAGACTGTCCCCGTGACAATCCTCAGAGCACACTGGAGACTGATGCTTGTTCAGGAGAACGTAGCTCAACTGACTGCAGCAAGAGGTTGTTTTTTGTAATTTGGGTGAAATGCTCCTTTAAAAAAACTGACCATAAACTCCAGGCAACAGAAAACAGTAAAGACTGAAATGTGTGAATGCAGTTCTGTGCTTGAGCTCAGCAGCGTGATCTCAGCCTGGACGGAGTCTGATCATATCTGACTTCTTGTGTCACTCAGTCTCTGAACTTGGATCAAATGTTACTAGAGCTGCAGCTCTGAGTCGCTTCAGCGATCGTTTCCGTTTTACTGGTAGCAGCTTCTTAAATGTGCCTGATGCTCTGTTCGTCTCTGCCTTACACCCTCGTAAATTAAATATCTGGGTTTGGACAAAAAAAGATGCGAATATGTCACATTGGGCTCCGTGAAATTGTGCCGACATCGTTCCCAACTGCACAACATTCTACAGCCAAAACAACCGGAGATGAATCAAGAAAACAACAGTTGGATTATTCAGAAATAAAAATAACTGTTGAGTCCTGGTACTTGAACTGTCAGGAATAGAAAACACAAGAACAAAAGTCGTTGGAACCATGGTGTTAATGTCTGCTTTTACAAACTGTTTGTTCAAGCTGTTGTATAAAACTGTGTCATTATCAGATTTCTTAAATCTCCAAATATTAATATTGATCATTGGCGTCAGAATGTGAAGCTGCTCAGAGTCGGTGTTAATTCTGACACTGAATTTGGTTTTGTTTTAGTCTTCTGACAAAAATTTATATTAGATTCAGTCAAATTTTACTCTTTTGATTTCTGTTAGTTTCATTCAATAGAAAGTTAATACATTTTAGTCCAGTTCGTCATTCTTAAACCGCATTTTTAATATTAACTGTAGGCTACGTCTTCTTTGTCCCGGTTGTGCAGTTACCATGGTTACACGTGTTGTTCCCGCCTGTCACGAGGTTTGTGGGAAACGGTGTTTTATGTTGCTCTGCTCTGCACAAGTCAGACTCGCTGAATGTTTGGACTAAAGTCCTCTTCACCGTGTCCAGAGGCGACGCTAAATCATCAGATAACATTAAAACAGTGACCACGTAGAGATGACTTATGGCTGACTGATGAAATAAACACTGCTCAGAGTAGAGCTGCAACCATTAGTTGAACAAAGGAAATCACTTGAAAACTATTCTGATAACCGAGTACTTGTTCTTTTTCAGGTTCCAGCTTCACAAATGTGAGGATTTACTGCTTGGTTTTATTAAATAACACAGTAAAATTCTTATTTTTGAACTCCTGGCTGGATAAATTAAGAATTTAATCACTTTGGGCTCTGGGAAGTTATAACGGGCATTTTTTACTACATAGACTGAACAATGAACTGATAACAAGAAAACAATCAGCAGATTAATCAGTAAAGAAACCAATCGTTAGCCTTCAGTTGTGTGTCAGTGTATGCGGCAGCACCTTGATCCTCAACGTGCAGCTGTTCGCAGGGATCACATCTGCATCTGTCAGGTTGAACCACAGTGTCGCTGATATGAAACCAACTTCGTCATGGCTCTGTGGGTCTGGACTCAAGACCACCACCACTACAGAGACCAGCCGCTCTCTGCAGACCCCGCCGGCGTCTGTTGGAGGTCTGGAGGAGCCGCCCGGCCTCGACAGCCTCACCCACTCCTGGTTAAACAGCCCCAGCCTGAGAAGGAGCTGTTTGCTTACAAACACACAGCTGTCCACATCCACAGCAGCTCCCTGCTGACCTGTGACCCCGAGCCACCGCTGGGTGTCCACCACCCGGACATCCACCCTGCACTCTAGCGCCTGCAGGATGCCCGAGAGCCCCGGACCCAGCAGTTTCCTGTTGTCGAGAAGCGCTCGCCCCCCTGCGAGGCTGTCGGCAAAATGAGCAAAGTCTGACACACACAGTCTGAGTGGTTGGCAGGGCGGGGGGGCGCCTGGGGGATCCACAGGGTCCCAGCAGTCTGTCAGAACCAGAGAGGTATCAGCAGTGATCCGCCCCTGGGTTACAGGACTACACTCCAACACCAACAGGTCCAGCAGCTGCTGCTGCACCTGGAATCACATGAAGAAGAAGAAGGTCCGAGCACAAATCACTTGTTCTGTTCTCAGGATGAAGTACAGGATAAATGTCATGGCAGCGGTTCTGTATGCAGGGTTCTTAGTATAAGATCTGTACCCTCCTCCCAAAGATTTGTTATTAACTGTTTTCACCAAAAACTGGACCCGTGTCTGGTACAGTAGTTTCTACAGATGCGGCCCGTTTGCAGCTGACATACACTGCAGTATTAATAAAAGGTTATTCCGTGTAAATAACCCGTGCCGGAGTCTCACCTGTCCCGGGTCC